TTCTGGCGCCCTGCTCGGCGCCTATCTGGAGCGCCACAGTCCGCCCGCCGCCTCGGAGCTGCCGGCGCCGGGCGGGGCCTTGGCAGGCGGCCCCGCGAGCGGCGCCAGCGTGGTGGTCGGCGTGGCCGAGGTGAGAAACTGGCGCTGCTGCTGCCTCGGCAGCACCTGTTGGTGCCGGAGCCTCGTGCTGGTCTGCGTGCTGGCCGCCCTGTGCTTCGCTTCGCTGGCCCTGGTCCGCCGCTACCTGCAGCACCTCCTGCTCTGGGTGGAGAATCTCGACTCGCTACTGGGGGTCCTGCTGTTCGTCGTGGGCTTCATCGTGGTTTCATTCCCCTGCGGCTGGGGCTACATCGTGCTCAATGTGGCAGCCGGCTATCTGTACGGCTTCGTACTGGGGATGGGATTGATGGTGGTGGGCGTCCTCATCGGCACCTTCATCGCTCATGTGGTCTGCAAGCGGCTGCTCACCGCTTGGGTGGCCGCCAGGATTCAGAGCAACGAGAAGCTGAGCGCTGTTATTCGCGTCGTGGAAGGAGGAAGCGGCCTAAAAGTGGTGGCGTTGGCCAGATTGACCCCCATACCTTTTGGGCTCCAGAATGCAGTGTTTTCGGTAAGTGATGGTGACCAGCTGACCCATCCATCGCTCTACAAGTCAGTTTTTGAGCGATCTTGTGACGGCCTTAGGAGGGCGCTCCATCAGATAAGTGCCAGACCCAAAGTGACATTTACAGTAAGAGTTAGACTTGCTTTCCATCTCCTCCTTAGAAATCTTCTACACAAATATAGCAGTAGTCGGGGCCTCAATATGAGACATGGAGGAGCACGCCTCCTTTTTGAGATGATAAGAGTTTGATTAAAAATGAATCTTTAACTCATCAGAAAGACTGGGGGCGGGGTGAATGGAAATAGCCATTCTTCACATTTGTCATTTAAGTAGCAGTATTGGCAAAACTCGGAGGGACGGCTCCGCATTCTTAGGTTTCTCTCTTGCCTGCATGAATGCATCCAGGGCTTTGGCCTAAGTTTTTACGAGATAGTGCTGAAGGCGGCGTTTGCATCAGCAGTGGAAAGGAGTAGCCATAGACTCTAAATTTGAGTTTCCTAAATTTGTTACAAGCTTTTTATTCAAATATTAATATGATAAAAAGGAGAAAACTCTTGTTTGTTTTTCTTTGGAGGAACTTTATTTTGAAATTACTAATAGTGAATAAAGCAAAATACAACCTTTTGCCCAATGAGAGTTTATTTTTCTTTTTCATACACACGTTCTATAATCTTTTCCGCTCTTTTGCTAATATGTTCTGTTTGTTCTGCTTGGGTATCTTTAGTTAGTGTGCATCTTCACGCGACTGATTGAGGAATAAAAATGTTGCTTGTGAGGAGACCATCCCATTAAAAGAATGGAAACTAATTTTTATAAACTTTCTACCAAATTACTAATCTTGTCTGGCCTTGGCTCCTCTTTTCACAGATGAGTGGATTGATCTTGATCACTGAGTTTCCAAAATTTAGAGTCGGAACTACAGAGAACTCACATAATGATTCACAGAAAATCAACCTTTCATCTACGTTTCAAGAAAACTGTATATTAAGGGGAGAAAGCCTTTCAAACCATAGGAATTGATGCATTTTAAGTTATGATAGGCAGTTCTGATACATTGTTTTGTGTCAGAAGGAAATTGTTAGTCTCTTGAAACTCATTTAATTTTCTTATTAAGAATAATTCTAACCAACCTCCCTCTTTGTGATGAAATTAAGATTTCTTTTTCTTCTTTTCTTTTTAAATCTTTTGCAAATCTCCCATTAATTCTGTCCAACTGCAGCACTGACTATAGGATGTTTGCTGGAGGCAGTAGAGGAAGTGAAGAGAAGGGGTGTTCTGTACAGATAAAGTTTGGTGTTTACTGTAATTTGGTATAGTCTTAGCCTTAAGTTTTTCCTTCTTCCCAGCCAACTATAGTAAGAAATATAAACATGACTTTGGACTCAAATTTAGATAATAATATCTCAAGTGTCCTAAGACTTCCGAAGTCTTGGGACTAAAGAAACTGCCTTGTTTCATCCTGTTTTTTTTTTTTTCTTTTTTTAGCCCTCCAGTATAGCTGTGTCCTTGTGCCTTTCTTCACATGCTATGGGCCAGCTACTATGCATATGATACATATTGTTTCTCTTCTTTAAACTAGCTTTGTAGAAGGTGATTATGCACATGTTATTAGGCAATGTTGTCTAATGGTTAGGAGCCCAGGGCTGGTGCTCTGCAGTCCTGTTGTTTCTGCCTTAGAATCTGGGTGACCTTTGTCAAGTAGCTTATCTATGCTTCAGTTTCTTGTAAAATGGGGAAAATACTGGTACTTACTATATAGTTAAGATTAAGTAAGATAAATACATGCAATAGAGCATCGCTTAACAAACACTCAAATATTGGCTTTTGTCTTCATAAGTGTTATTGTTATCCAAGGTCATGTAGGTAGTAAATAAATAGTATTGCTAAACTTTGACCTATAATCTGATAGCAGGGTCTCAACAGTACATGGCTCTATGTCTTCATTGGATATTTAATGCTTAATACAGTAATAACTTTATAGTAAGGGTTTATTAAATATTTATTAGTTGACAGTAAGGTAGATCTGTCTTTTGATAATGTCCCTTTTATGTATTAAATATGTAAGTAAATTTTACTTTGGACTTAGAAATAATTTAAGGTAATTATGTAGTTGAATCTTAGCTTGACAAGGGAGCAACTCTGAATATGATATTATAGGGTCAAACAAAAGGGAAAAAAAGAAAAACAGCCTCTTGAAATTGTTATTATAGACTCCATTTTACTGAAGTAGAAACAGAGGGTCCTTGGCTTAGGAACTTGTTTAGGATTGTGGAGCTTAGGTTTGAACCCAGACTCAGCTGAGCCACAGTGCATTTTACGGTAACATTTTTACTAACAGCTGTCAGCATGGTGGATTGTGAAGATACTGGATATAGTCTGTCATATCTTGTTTATTTCTATGACTCTGAACTGTCTGCTCACAGAAGTAGCCATTTCAACCAAAACCGTTTTCTGAATTCACTCAACCCAACCCACTGCCCTGGAGTCAATTTTGATTCATAGTGATCCTATGGGACAGTATGGGACAGAGTAGAACCTGTCCCATAGGATTTCCAAGGCTGTAAATCTTGGTGGAAGCAAGCTTTCTCCCATGGAGTGGCTGGTGGGTTTGAACCTCTGATCTTGTTGCTTAGCAGCTGAGCGTTTTAACCACCATTATTACCAGTGCAACTCAGATTCACCCACAGAATGAGAAAAGAAAGTTTAGTGGAGGCTGATGTTGGTTTTAGTCTAACTTTCCCTCTTCTAGAGCTTCATTCACCCCACCGCCACCCCTCTGCCTTACACTCCTCTCATTGCCCAAAACCCTCCCCTTTCCAAGCATGTTCTCTTATATTCTTCCTTCCTCCATATTTTTGAGATTATCTCCCCCTTTTTTTTTTCTTTTTCATTCCAGTTAAAAACCATTCTTTGATGCCCATGATGAAGGACTTTTTTTTTTTTTTCTGGGCTTACCTCAAAGAGAAAGTGAGGTGTGGTGTTCATGAGAGGCACAGGCCTGGGTTCAGACAATCTTTAATTAGTCCATGCTGTATGGCCTTCTCCATGTTGCCTCATCTTTAAAATGGAGGAGAGTTTATGAGGACTAAATGACCTAGGGCAGTAAGAGCATAATTAAGTGTTTTGCCTGGCACATAGTCAATTTTCAGTAATTGTTAGCTTTTAATGATTGTTATTAGTGGTGGAGGTAACAGTATTTACATTTTTACAGGCAAAAGTGGTTGTAAAACATGAATATGTGGTAGAAGGAAAGGGACTTTCCACTGCTTTTTATGTATTAACTAGAATTCTTTTCCCTTGTGTGCCAAAAAAGGGTAAGCAAGTTGATACTGCACTTGTGAAACTTGAAATCAAAAATTCATACTTACCACTTCATGTAGTTCTTAATCCATAAGAAGTATAATTTTTTAAGTACATACATTAATTTTTCCCTCTTTTAAAAATTTATGCTTTATTTCTGTTAAACAATAGCTAAGACTTAAAAAAAAAAATTCTCCCAGTGTTCTTCATGTAATCTTGTTCCTAAAGGTATTGCTGCCCAGTAAGATAGATCTGTAAACTTGTAGTTTTGGTGTTTCTAAGTATTGTTATTATCTGGCCATGTATCTAGGATGACCACTAATGCTTTTTTACTGTATCAGTTGGGATAGGTAAATGATGCTGTAGTAACAATCTTCAAATCTCAGCAGGTGTTTTGGTTACCTAGTGCCGCTCTGACAGGTATATACCACAGATGGGATGGCTTGGACAAACAGGAGTGCATTCTCTTACAATTTTGGAGGCTTTAAGTCTCAATTCAAAGTGCCAGGCTCTAGAGGCTGGGTGAAAGTTCCTAGACCTTGGGCTTCAGCTCTGCCTCTTGCTCCTGGCCCACTGAAGCTGGAGGCATCTCTTCACTCAGGAGCTGCTGCTGAAGCTGACAAACCCAAGGTCAATAAGTGAAAAGGCACAGTCCTGATATAACAAATCACACAGCAGGCCGTTAATTCAAGTCCATTAAAAGTCGCAAGATTGGCAGGGCAACATAGCAGGCTGCTGAACAACAACTTGGTTACATGTGGGTTCAAGTGTGCCCTCAGCCTGGAGACTTTTCTCAAAGTTGCCTCTTACATACTGGAAGCAGCCCACATCCCTAAAGCAGCTACTCAAATGCTCCAGTAGATTCCACCATGGAATTGATTGCCAGTCTCACCATGGGGAGTAAATACATCCAGCTGCCCAGCCACTCAACCAGGCCCAGCCAAGTTGACAACTTTAACTACCACAACGGGTTAGAAAAGAAAGGTTTATTTTTTCTGCTGGCCACAGGTCCAGATCCAGCTTGTTTTGGGGATAAGGACGTAGGTGCTTTATGTCATTTTTACTCTGGGATCCAGGCTGACAGACCCACCTTCTGCAGTTGTTTACTAGGGCATAATGAATTGCACACTGGATTTTCAAACTTCCATTTGGAAATAATCTCACTTTTCATTGTTTCAAACAAGTTCTGTGGCCTTACGTAACTTCAAAAGAGTGACACTCGTGCCAGGTAGGAGATGACTTTAGCGCTTGGCTGCCTCCTCTCATCTCCATCCCAAGTCCTTGCTCTGTCCTATGGATTCTACCCCCTAAAAGCTTCATTCCAACATTTAACAGTTTGCCAAGCACACTTACGTTCATGGTATCTCTTAATCCTCACAATAGTCCTTTGAGTAGGTATCGATGATCAACACGCAGAGTTACATTTACAAAAATCACAGATTTGAAGTCGGACTTGGCTCTGACATTTACTCTGTCACCTTGAGTTAATTTTCCTTTTGAGCCACACTTTCTGGTGTAAAATGTTTACTAATTTCTGCAACAAAGCCATGACAGAATACATAGTTTGCTCATTAAATAATGAGCAAAAGAAAGAAATTGTCTTTCTCTCTGCCCTCTGTATTTCAAGAATTTTTGTTTTTCGTTACTGTGTTTGTTTCAATGTAACAAATACTTGGTAGTTCAGTGTTTAAGCATTCAACTGCTAA